AAGAAATAAACTATTAAAACCTATTTCAACAGTGTTTACATAATGGCTCCCTCCTGGGTTTCAACGTCAATATCAATGTTCTTAAAGTCACAAAAGGCTCAAAATAATAATAATAATAATGATAACAATAATAATCACAATAATAATAGATATTTATATTGCGCCGCCTATCCAGATCTGTTCTAAGCGCTTTAAAAAGAAAGTTCTACGAGATAAAAATACCGATTACAATGCTAAAAATAAAATAAATTGAAAATTATTTCTAGCTAAATAATAATTTTTAATAAGATACAAAAAAAAAAAAAGACTTGGATTATCGCATGAACGTATATCATTGGGTAGCAAGTTCCAAAGTTCTGGGGCTGAGACAGAAATTGCTCTGGATCCATACGCCTTTCGAAGATCCGTCCTCGTGTTTATGCACAAAGTATTTTATGAATCTTCGAGTCATTCTCTACGTGAACTTTTTTCAAAAAAAAAAAAAAAAAATAATAATAATAATAATAATAACACCGGACGAAACGGAGTAATTGAGCCAGCAGGAAAATACTGAGAAGATTTTGCTCAAGGATTCATTCGTGATGTGAAGCAGCACTGATTACGAAGAGGANAATAATAATAATAATAATAATAACCTCTAGGTCGTCTCGCGTACAAAACCAATTCAACATCATCCGGTTTAAGTCGGATATTGGACGGAACACCTTACAGTACAGAGGTCCTGTAATTTGGAACTTTTCAAATAGACTTGTTACATTTTAGCAGATTTTAGCAGATTTTACGGAAACACGCCTGACACTGCTAAGTTTACTTTTAATAAGGAAGCTCCTTTATTCGCCATGAAAAAGGATGATTTTATTTATTAGTCTAATATTACTATTTTAATACGTTTTTTTTCTAACTAGGTCTGAGCGTACTTCAATCGCCTGTGGTGTTTTAATTATAAATCTTAGTCTTAGTCACAACTAAGCCACATATTTTCTATGTGTAATTTTCCTGTACGCATTTTATCCTCTTATTCTTTCATGTTTGTATTTTTAGCTTCTACGTTATTTATTGTAGTAGGTCTACATCAGCCCTTTGGCCGACCTTAATTCAAACCCACCTCATCAGATAAAGTATATATATGTAATGTAACTCTCTTAAAAATGAGATAAAGATAGATGGATGGACATAGGGAAATTCAGGGAAATTCTTTCATCTTTCAAAAACTGTATATCAAAAGTAGACTTGAGATTAATACTCGGTAATGAGCTATAATAAGCCATAATAAGTTAAAACAGAAATGATTAAAATGATGAAAAAGAAAAAAAAAGTGACGATAGCAAAGTCAATAAAAATAAAAAGTTGATAAATCTGACTCCATTCTCCTTTTTAATACCATTTAATGGAACCTAGTCTCTGAAAGGTGGGAGGCGCAGTGGATCCATGGTTAGTGCGCTTGATTCCAAAGCGAGCGGTCTGGGTTCGAGCCCTGGCCGGGGACATTGTGTTGTTTTCTTGGGCAAGACACTTTACTCTCACAGTGCCTCTCTCCACCCAGGTGTATAAATGGATACCGGCAAATTTAATGCGGGGGGTAACCCTGCGATGGACTAGCATCCCATCCAGAGGGAGTAGAAATACTCCTAGTCATTTCACGCTACAGAAACCGGGATAAGCTCCGGCCTGATGAGCCACTTGGCTCGTATGCAGACTTCACCTACGTTATTTTTTAAAAGAGCGAGCCACTTCATCGATCGTTTCTTACAGCTTTGTCAAGTGAAGCGCACAACATTTTCCACGACGAAAAGAGTCGGTTTCGAAAAAACTTCATTAGCATACTTCAGTTTCGAAACGATATCATATTTGTTTAATAAAGACGAAATCAAGAAAGAAAACATTGTTGTTTTTAAGATGATTCGGCATTGAACGTGAAACGAAACCAGTTTCATTTCGAACGGAAGTTGCGATTAGATAATTTAAATGGGAGGACGAAGTAGATCCATTGAGTTTGTCCCTGCACACAGCAACGCTTAGAAGTCCTCGAGCGAAGGTTCAGTGATTGAAGTGACTCTGGTCTAGATAGACGGCCATATTACTGAGAATAACAGGTACTTAACTCCACAAATGTCCGACGTTCAAATGATTCATTCGGTTTCAGAAGGTGACACTACATACTCGCTAAGGGATTTTCTCGACACGTTTACTCTTCCTCAACATGTGAAGATACGTGAGGGTTATTATGATGAAAATCAGCGCACAACCATTGGTGCAGATGGTGTTTACAACCTGCTGACGGTCGAAAGTGTCGAAACGGTGTTGTATGAAAATGCCCAAGGCGAAGAAACTCGAATCCCGCTTGACTACCCGTGTACCGTTGAACGGGTAGCGGAAGAGAGATTTCAACAGAAGTTCATACTACAAGACCTGGTCCATGATAGCTCGACTGTAAAGATTGTGCGTGTGATTGAGACCGACCCAGATTACGAAGCTGTCATCAAGAATGGCGACAAGCTTAAGATAGAAAAGAAAAAGTGCCGTGAAAACTTTGTGGCTTTCAAAAGAGTCCACGATAAGGGCAAGACTCTGTTAAAAGTCCCGGCGAGTTGCCAAGCTAAAGTTGTAGCGCTTTGGGACGGCGAAGAAATGCCCCTTGCCAAGTTTGTAAAGAAGACCAAACTGCCCGTCCATGTGAGGTTTATTGATACAAGTACAAACGACGACAAAGCTGAACAAGGGGAACTGCCTTGTCCTTCAAGACCGGACTCTATCACTACGTTGCCAGAGGGTGTTGTTAAACTGAAGGGGATTCTGGTAGACACGTTTGTAACGGCTACAACGGAAGTTCAGGGTGTGACATCAAAGTTTTCATTTCCCAATACGCTACCGATTAGCGTTGTGCCTATGACAATGAAAGCTACCTCTTCGAACCTAAACAACGAAGCAGGTAATGATGACAGAGAATTTCTCGACGACGAAACTCAGTATGAAGACATGTCTGGCATGAAGTCGGTGCTAGGTTCACCTCAGCAAACAAGGGGAAAGACAGGGAAAAGGAACAGTGAAATCAGTGACAAGTGCATGTCAATCGCACGGTTGGGTGGGCTAGGAGCTCGCCAGAACACTTATTCACCAGCTCCTTCTAAAAAAGTGCTCAGAAGCCAAAGTGTGACACTGCCACGACAAGGAACTGTTTTATTACAGAGGACTACGAGCGCCTTACAACTGCAAACGATGTTCACGGACAGTAAAGAAAACTTTTACGACGAAATTAATGTTAGTGCGAAACCTGAAGAGGTGAAAAGTACTCCATCGCTAATGGAAAGAAGAAGACGAAGCGACCCGAACACTCGTCAGGTATCGAAACAGAATCTAGAAAACTTGGTACAAGTGCAGGGTCAGACCTCGAGTGATCCTGAAACCTCCCAATTTACAGCCGAAATGGTTTCGTTGCAGATTGCGAAAACCTCACCGACCTTAATGCCACGCGTGAAAATGAAGACATTCGGTAGAAAGGAAACAGTGATAGAAAATGAAAGTGCGTCAAGTGACGTATACAGTGTTGTCTTCAAAGGTTGTGCTAGCCAGCAACTGAATCTGCTACCGCCATTGTCGTCTTCATCGACGAAGAGCTCGCCTTTTTATGGTTCTGAGGAAACAGAGACCGCAAACCCAAACGTGCTGCTTGCCCCGAAGGTAACACGTTCAAGCGCAGATGCACTTCCACCACTTCCTTCACAACAGGGAAGTTGTTCAGGGGAATCTCATTTGTCGGGTGGCGATCTTCCGGTGGGCGCTAAGGCAGAATCAAACGGAAGTCGTGGCGCTATTGGCAACAAGGCTCTATCGACCGGCACCGTGAAAAAGAAAGCAATCCCTGAACCTTCTCAAAGAAGTGAGAAATACGCGAATATCAAAACCCAACAGCAACCATTCCGTAATCCTACAGCTACAGTTGAACCCGATGTATCAACGAATATGACCGAAGACCCACCACCACTTCCTTCACGTATCAAACAAACTGACAGCATTGCAAGCTCCAAAGGTTGCCAACCTATTCCCTCCCCAAGGGTTAAGCACCATCCTTTCTCCAAAACGTCTCAAGAAGAAAGCGATTTGCCTCTACCAAATAAAAAGGAAATTCAACCTGCTTCAGGCACTAAAACGCTCGGCACAGCGTCGCGGCCTGGAACGGAACAGGGGCCAAAAACACCAGAAGAGTTCCAGGCAACGATGAAAGAAACCTCGAAGTCCAATTTAATCATTCCGCAGGACCTAAGCACACTGAGAGTCCCTGAAGTTCTTGAGTGTCTAAGAGGTTTGAACATGCAACAGTTTGAGAAGATTTTCAGCGAGCATCAGGTTGATGGCAGCATGCTTGTGTGTTTGGACGAAGAAGCTCTGGAGTCGTTTGGAATGGATCGTTTTCATCGTTTAAAACTTCTTAAAGTAATCGATGGCTGGAGGCCACAGCTATAGAAGCTAGCAGTGACACATCTCTAGAACTTTGATATAGATTCTGCCAACAACGCATGGTTACAGCGGGTTTTTACACTAGCGTGATGCATCTTTGTTGCTATGCTGATCGTGATATGTTATACTGTTATACACACTTGACTTCCTTTTACTTTGTCAAGGAGGAATGAGGTGTTTATCATTTTAGGGACTGTTTATTTGAAACGTCTCTTTCTTTCAGTCTAAGTGGCATGCCTGAGAACTAGCTAGTAGTAGCTAAGCGCATCGACCACTATAAACATTCAACATTTAACATTTTGTTTTTAAAAGATAAGTTGTTTTGCAAAAGTTAATATCTTTGTAAAAAACGATTATCGAAAGTTATGTAAGGAAGCGTGGAAGTGTGATTAGAGAAGTTGGAATCCGGTGGTCCCGGATTTGAGTGTCGCATATTACTCCATTTTGTTGTCGGTTGAGTCCCACTGCTTTTAATTTGTAAAAAACCAACTGGTACGCCTCGTGCCACTTGGAATTTTTAATCATGAACATTGATTCGAGTCTGATTATGTTCTTTTGCAATAGTTGTTGCGGTTTGTTTACATTTCTAAACTTTGAATAAAAATATACATCGTCAATATCGGTTTCCAATTTCCAGTTGCAGCCTTCTGTGTCACTTAGGCACGAAGAGGATCATGTCATGTCAATATTGATTTCTAATTGACAATTATCACGTAGACATTTCTAAATAATGTTCCAGAAGATTCGAAATCGTCCAGAAACAACATTTGCAACTCGAGAGATATTTGACCTGTTATAGACGACTTTCATAAGATTCAGCTCCTGCTGTTGACCCTTTCAAGCGCAAAAAGTATTCACTTGTTTTACATTCTATTCAATCGAAGCAAATTCCAAAGATTTTTGTAAAATTTCAAAACTTTTGGAGTAACAACAAAAAAGACCTTTGCGTCGTTTTGAAATATCAATGAAAGGTTTCTGAAAATTGTGAACTTGTACAGTTCCGAGACTACTTATAGAAGAGAGGAAATAAACGATGATATTACTCACTCAACGGACGTTAATTTTTAGATCCACTCGTAAACGTTTTAAGTATGTGCCCACTGTACAGTGTATTGTAAAAATAAACAAAGGCGGTGTACTTCCTTGTTTCAGTTTATTATGTTACATCAGTGATCAGAAAAGAATTGCCTTATCTTTGTTATCATACGGTCTCTAAACGGAATTTTAAACATACCCAAAATCCTTCTGATCTCCGCAGGATACATAAGGAGAGATTTATGAATTACGTCTGAGGACATAGCGACGACTGTGACATTTCGCTCACGAGATATGGCACAGAGAGAAACTGAGCCTCAGGTGAACGGTCTCGCTGTCACACGAAGGGAGTGAAATGGAAAGTCAACTCGAAAATGAGCGATGAACCTCCTTAGAGTAAAGAGGGAGTTACAACCGCACTTCATAAGCTTCAAAGTTGCGAGAACACATAGCCGTCAACTAACCTACTCGTAGACATCTCCCAGCAGACCCAATATCTCAGTTTCGATCAGTTTCCTGTGAAGGCCGGAATTGTACGTATCACGCATGCAGTCTTAGCTGGGCTCGAGAAAACGAGTCAAATTCACGACCAACAACGAACGAGGTTTATTGCATTATTTTTGTCTTAGTAGGAAGGCATAAGTGCTGAGATATTTCCACTTTTTTTAGAAAGGAGTACTACATATTTGAACTTGATGTACAGAAAGTGGATTCCCATTTTCACGGTCTAAAATATTGACACGGCACCTCAATTAAATTTCGTCACTGTGCCCAAATCATTTCAGCACGACACTTTCCATTTACACACCCCAAGAGAGAAGCTTGTTCTCCTGTTGGGCCTGACTTTTTCATCGGTATTTTCCCCGCGGGAAGTGCTTAAGCAGTATTGTTCATTGCGCTTAAAAGTGCAAAATGTGAAATATTCTCGAAACGAAAAGAATCGCTGACGATACACGAACGAAACAGATCGAAATCTTTAATAAATTGGCGACATTCGGAGAAAAACACAAAAAATAATGGCTATTTGCAGCTATAGCGCACGTCATTTGTCACGTGTTTCACATTTGTTCTTGGGTCAGGGCCATAATCACAACATCATGGCTTGGAATAGCCTGCGCGCAAACGTTCCCGATCCCCTACAAACAAAGAGTATTTCCCATTCCGGTCACGAGAGGGAATGCCTACCAGCTCCGAGAAACGCCCAACGACGTTTCACGTTTGTGCTCATTCTTAGATTGACGACAGCTTGTCATCGAACGGGGGCTAAAATTGTATTATTCGAGGTACGTCAGAAGTCTCAGAACGGCACAACTTTCAAAATGGTTGAAAGCGGAAATACGGCAAGTGTTCGGAATAGAGATCTTCTCTTTTCTTCGCACAAGTTATAGCTTTTTTAATGACTGAACAATCTACTGCGAGTTAAATTACATTTTTCTTTTGGCAGCGAAACGAAGTTGCCAAATAAGACTATTAAATCCTGCTTCTCCTTCCCTTGTTCCTGCCTGATCTTCGAACACGATTGATAATAAACGGAATTTTTACACAAACTTGATTTTTGGCACGATGCCTCGATTGTCAGTGCCCAGACTACCTCGGCCCCTAAAAGTTCAGTTATGCACTGTTGGGACTGATAAATTTGCACGTTGAAAATTCGGGGTGTCGTGCCTCAATAAAGTTTTACTTGCCGTTTCGACTTTTTAGCCGTGTAAATGGGGTTCAAAGAACTTCTTCTAAAGAGAGTGAAACAATCCCAGAGTAAAACAATGTCACGGACTCCCATGTTTTGACCTGTATTTCTTCGAACCCAGGACGAATACAGAATTAATAAGTTTTGCAAAAGGAATCCGCTATATTTTGTTGTTTGACAGACCACTTAACCATTCACGAAATATTTCCGATACGAGCTTTTGGGTACGAAGGTTATTTTGACTCGTTATATTTATAGCCAAAACAACGCAGCCGATTACTTGATCCCAGGAAGTGTTTTAGAACAGGCCTAAACTGGTTAGATGGAACTGGGATTCGCGTATTTTTCACTGGATCACTGGGACTGGGAATCACAAAATTGGAAATTTGGGCCTGCCCTATGCTGAGAAATGGGATTTGGGCAAATTGTCGGCTCGAAAACGGGATTTCAGCCTCCCCCCTTTCAGGGCCCTCCTTTAGCGTGAATAGAATTCGAGAAATTCACCTGAAGAGTGAAAACAACCCAATATAGCTTGACACCTTTTCGCAAGGTTATATAAATAGACTGAAATGCTGTTCCTTGACAAATAAGCCTAAACTTGACATCTTCAAGTGTTTTTGAAGATCAGTGTCCGCCATCAAGGGTGTGTTTTGTACGCTTTGGCTACAATGTCACGCGATAGCTCAAGTAATCCTCCAGCTTTTCTCCTTGTTTTTGCTGCTTTGACAACATTTTTTTGCCATGATCATGCAGCGAGGGGAGCCGCAAGCTACGCAGCCTTTCAAAAAACAACAAACTTGGCGGTCTTGGGAAACCGTTATCGCTGTGATACAGGATGCAATATGAACCAGTTGAAGCCTAAGTTACCCATGCCTTGGTGACTCCATATCCCACCTATTAAAACGAGACAAAAAGAAATTTTTGAAGCCTGTGTCACAGCCGCCCTCACAGCCTAAAAGTTTTGGCATTTTGTCAAGTATCTATTACAAAAATAGACAGAAGTATTAACTTGCAATTGTTTCTCCACCGTACTATGTCCAGCTAAACTGATCAGCGAGATTAGTCTCAATGGGTATTACATTTATTGACCAAATTTCCGCCGGTTAGAACAGCTTTATTCGCGTTTAAGATGTTATTCAACTGTGATCGAGTTTCGGGATATGACGCACAAGGGTAAAAATTACGGATACGTGCAGACTAAACACCCACTCTACTAGATGGCGATAACAACACCCTGCTTTCTGCTCGAGATGATTAAATCATCATCGCATGTAGCGGTAACATCTAGCTGGCAGTGAAAGCAACGCTGTAACCAAACCACTCATGTTGAATTCTAAACAATTCACAAGCAGCTCAACCGGCGCAGTCATTTCTGTTTTCTGTATCTAATTTATGCGATTTCCCACCACAAGCGTGACCTTTCAGTTCACCCGACTTCCTTTTTTGTATTAGACAGTTCTCTATTGTTCTTATCATGATCAGATGATCGCTGGAGCCTAAAACGTCCGGCAATGTCTTAGCTCACAAACAATTTACTAGATATTGAAGTATGGACTCTACAAGGGACGCCAGCACTCCGGTGGACCTCGAAGCATTTCTTCAGCGCCATGGCTCAAGACTCCCATGCACAGTTAAGGTTGTGGAAGGCTTTTGTGGAACCAACGCTGAGGATACGTTGGAAGGAGACCAGATACTCGTTATCTACAAAATTGAGAGGCAGAACACGATAATTGCATTTGATCAGCTCAATCAAGAGATCTGTGTGCCACGGAATACGAAAAATAAAGTTCAGCTTCTTCCGCTTGAACACCACGGAGAATATAAAAGAGTACGACATTTGTTTAATGCTCATCAGACACAGTATTTCCGCGTTCTCGAAGACCTTGCATCCCTTCAAATATCTTCAGAGACTACACTTCAACTGCTGAGCAACCAGCCTTTTCCGAACTTCGCGAAATGTAAAGTAGTTGACTTGTATGATTCCAGGGAGGTTTCACTGCCATTGGAACTACAGGGGAGATTTCAGCCGCTCTTGGATGCGAGGGAATACTACTTAGAAGAGGTTCTAGCGCAGTATCAACTGCCAGTAAATATTCGATTTGTTCTCCCGTCTCGCGCCAATAATGGTGCATGCCTTTCGAATCCACTGTCAAGTTTGGAAAACATTCATCTAGAGCACGAAACCGAAGTGGAAATGATCTTCGCAGCTTCAGTTGATGACCCGTTATCATTAAACCTGTTCCCGAGAACACTGGACATTAACGTTAGTTTCGGATTTAAAGTCACGGCGGATACAAGCAAGAGGATCAAAGAATGCAGACAGACTCTTGCGGCGAGTGAAAGAACTTTAAAACGACTCGACATAATAGCAAGTAATTCTTTCTACTTTAAAGTATGTCCTGTCAGGCGTTTTAATTTCGAGTCACTTCAGCCTCCTTCAATTTCAATTCCACAGCCAACTAAAGGGCGCAAAGTGGTGTTATCGTCTAAAGCAAAACAAACCAAAACAGCGGAACAGACAGCTATAAATAGAAAAAAGTTAACCATGTCATGTCCCCAATCAGCGTCCAAACCTGGCTGGTTTTCTGAACAACATGCAGCTGACTATGAAAATTGTGAGAGTGACGAGAGTTTTAATAATTCCCTAGGAACCGAGGCTCGAAAAGCCGTGGACGAAGGCACAGACGCAGTACCTGTTCTTCCACCCAAGTTATCCACTGGAACATCACGGTCGACAATACCCAAGGACACTACGCAAGCAAATGAGCAGAGTCGACCAGTACCCAAGCCAAGAAAGCGACTTAATGCAGCATTGAAAAGGAACCAAGAAAACGTCAACAAATGTGTGACGCAAGCACAATCACAAGACAGAAATCTTGCTGAATGGACTGGCCCGTTCTCTGGAGATGACGCCGAGGACACCTGCCCTGAATTACCACCTAGACCGGAGTTCCTAAGGGTAAGGAGTATCGAGGATGAAGAAGATGACGACGTATCGAGGGAAGAACGTCCACCACCACTACCTCCAAGGTGTCCAGGACCTAATCAATTTGGTTTTCCGGCGTATCTAGTAGTTGATGTGACTGACTGGAGAGCAGTCGATGAGAAAGCCTTCAGGCCAAACACTATTATGGACGAGGGTCTGTACAGCGACGCGAAGGATGATGGACACGTTTTTAAACAAGATAGCGTTAGACATCTTGACTTATCCTTGATGTACCCACCAGATGAGAGGAAAGCCTACATTGACATGGAAAACCCAGGGGTGAATGGAAGACCTTATGTAGATATGGAAAGCAATGAGAAAATGGAAATGGATGGAAGGCGGA